TAAATGAATAATTAAGACGATTGATACACGGGTATATAAGAGGCGCTCTATGTGTTCGGTAGGCTATTGGTGGCCTACATAACTGAAAAAAATTATCCTTAATATATTATCCCTTACCATTGTTGGTATTAGGTGGTCTCGTCTTGGTAGGGGATGGAGTGGGATCGAGTAAAGCTTCTGAAGCACGTCTTACAGCACGACAGCAAGGAGGTCGATGTAAGAGAACTTACTGCACACGGGCAACACACCCTTAATATATACAAGTGTTACCGTGGCGACGAAGTCTCCTGCGTGACTATTGGCCAAATCGAGGGAAACCTGCCCAGATCTGATTACTCATTGGATATAATATATTTGTAGAATAGGAACTTCCCACTGAAGAGCTCAGGGGCGGTTCCGGGGGGGCAGGGGAGGCCAGTGCCCCCTGACAACATGCTTGGTCCACCCGTGTCCCCTTAAATACGTATGCTACTTCAGTCTGAAATGATTACTTAATTTTATTTTATTATCATTTTCTATAATATTATTATAATCACTATCATTATTATTTGCATTGATATATGTGGGCTTACATTTTGTGCGCTGGGAACAGGCGAAACACAAACGTAAGCACATTTTCTTGAACGTCTATTAACATGGATGCGCTGTGAGGTCGTGTTAACGACAGAAAAAATAATCAATCTCGTGGAAGCAAGACGGTATAAAGGAGATATTAGAGTGAGTTACACATTTGTAAAAGCTGTAAAATGTGACTGCAAAGCATTGCATAAATGACATCGATTTTCAAAATTGACTTTTTCTTCTTAATGCTGACAATCTAGTATAGCCTAAGTAATATTTGGAGGACATTAAGGTCAAATGCATCTGGCCCCCCTAACAGAACAACTGGCCCCAGTCTGCCCCCTCCCTCGGTTGAAATAGTATAGAACCTCCACTGGAAGAGCTTCCATATATCTCGATACAAATAAGCGATAATCGTCTTAGAGTCACACAAATACGGGATTTATATTAATAAAAAAGTTTTTTTTCCTGAAACTATTTTATTTTGCATAGTCATTTTTTATTCTTCAGGAGAAGGTAATCTTAAATTAACCTATAAATACAAGAAAGTTTTCTAGTTTCTTTTTCCAGTTATACTAACCCTGTACAAATAATGCTATAACTCATTTTTTGTAAACCCGTCTTTGTCAATATATACATTTACATTTATTTTACATATTTTTTCTCAGTTTTATTATATATTAATTGAAATAATTAAATTATTGAGCAAAACACAATTAAGTAATTTATAGCTATTAGCTCGAATGTTTTTGGTAAAATTTTCTAGCTATTGTGGACCTGCAAAATTTGACAGATTGGCTTTGAAAGGTCATTTAATATACTAGTCAATCATAAGCTGAAATACAATATAATGAAAATTCTTAATGATGTCCTTTTAACTGTTTTGGTAAAACATTTGATCAAACTGTAGAGTAAGAGAAAAGACAGAATATAATAAAATAATGTATGAAGATATACAGTAATGATGCAGGGCTGAGCACAGAGAGCCCCCAACCCCCCAAAACCCATTTCTCAGATCCCAGTGGTAGCTCGGCGATGAATAGTTGCTTAGATACCAAAGGGTATCCCGGAGATAATGCACAACCTCCCATAAAGCTTTTATCAGCAGGTCATGTGACCCATACAGAATGGCAGAAGGCAGCTGCCTCAATGGGGAAAGTGAAGAGTCTCCAGTCTACAGGACCTGTGGAGGATTTCCTGTAGATGTTCCATACAGTACGTGAAAATCCATCTCCTAATCGCCATGTTTGTCCTGTCAATCATCTTTGAAGACAAAAACATTTTCTGCCTGGAAATCTGGCTGTCAATCCTGCCTCTCTTTTATTATCAATATTTAACACAATTTTTCATGATGATGGTCATTTCATTCATGTTCTTGGAAAAGTATCAGTCTGATACTCATTATCTCTGTGTTTTGATTTACTTTATTTTAGCATTCATCTTTTGCCACTTGTTTCCCTAGAGGCACTCCCAATGCAATTTTGCTTTGAACCTACTGAAAATAACTACAAATATTAGTTTCTTAACACATTTGTAAGAAATATTTAAATATGGTACCTAACAGAACAGCATGGAAGCCTTATTCCCTTATTCATAAAATGTCTTTCATTAAAATAAAGCACGATAAAATTGTTGATCCCAGCTGTTCTCATAAAGTCATTTCCTTGCATCCCAGGTTGTTGCCAATAACAATGGTAGTTCTATGGTAACAGTCACTAGGGCTCATAATAACTTCAGTTTTCAGGCTTCTGGAATTCCTGCCAAACAGCTCCAAATTTCTATCAAAGCTGTTGTACATGGACCAAATACCTGAACACAACACATGAGAAGATCATGCTACATGACGTTTTTCTATAAATGAGCCTGAATGTTTGTTTCTCCAGATGAATATCAGTCACATAGTAATTTTGGCCTTTAATGACATAAAGTTCTGACTCAGGACAGATGATGTTCTCAGACTTCCTGTTTTCTGCTGACATGCCTTCGGTGCTGCCAACAGCTGACATACTATGGACCAATCAAATCTAGCAAAATGAGCTCTGTCCATATTGTACTCATTGTTTTCCTCGGATTTAGAGAGCTGACTAGCTTGTTTTTGCTAGTGTCCGGAAACCTGCGAATTAATGCTTCCAGTGGAGAATACACTGAACCCTGCATTATTTATCAGCTATGAGAAAGGCTACTCTTACTGCACTTGCCACATACAAAAGATTAAGGTTGTTTAAACAGAGCATGAAAGACAGTTTCGCTTCAAAGTTGTATTATTCTATGGCAAACCTATTAGCCTACAACTCAAAAATCCTGAGCCGTGCATGTATGAACAATATCCAGAAAAAATAGCCACTCCCATGAGAATGCCCCCCCACCCGCCATCCCCAGTCCACATCCACAGCTGCTCAAATGGCTCCTTATGCTGCAGCTGCTTGAATTGTCCGACCCAAGGGCTAGGCCCCATGCTGGCCTTCCGCCACCCTGCTGTCCAGCAATCATCTCAGTTATACTGAACACCCCCCCGCCCCTCACATACTGAACATTGCTGTTCCATTTCACTGTTAGAGCTTTTTGAATGTGAGCTGGCACTAAAGCACAAAGCAGAACTTGATTTGTCCGACCCAAGGGCTAGGCCCCATGCTGGCCTTCCGCCACCCTGCTGTCCAGCAATCATCTCTCACATACTGAACACCCCCCCGCCCCTCACATACTGAACATTGCTGTTCCATTTCACTGTTAGAGCTTTTTGAATGTGAGCTGGCACTAAAGCACAAAGCAGAACTTGATTTCTGTTATTTCTTCAGATCCAAGGTGGGTTCCTTGGTGTGACCTGTCATTGTACAGGGTGGAATTCATGAACCCCTCCTATTAAATGTGTATATTATGTAATGGAAGGACATACACCTAAAAAAATATAGCGTTCAAGATCAAAACCAAAAGTCAGCCATTTGACAAACTTGTGTGGTATAGTTAATTACTTTCCTCCATGTGGCTGTAGCTGATCTCATTCCTATTCTCAGCCTTATGAATGTTCTGTGTTTCCAAATGATAAGATAGAAAAGAATTTCACTCAGCTGTCTCTCCAGTTCCTTCAGCTTAATGTATGGCACTGAGAAACAGAAAGTGAGTTTCTCTAGATTTGTTAATTACCAGACTAGGACAGTGACACGATAGTCACATGACCGCATACTGTTGAATGACATCATTGGTGCGATATCTGGGACAAAGAGGGTGGTCGTGCTGAAGGGGGTTTGGGGGCTGTGGTGAAACAGAAAGCTAGTGGCACTCTACCTTGATTATCACAATACTAATTCAACCTTAATTTTAAACTTCAAGCCTTAACTTTGAGAATTCTTAAGAATTTCCCAATTTTACAGCAGCGTGGATGAAAACACAAACATACGGTCAAAATACCAAACCAACCATTCCCTTGCAGAGAATTCAGAGTGTGCACTTATAAAATGTAGCAGTACATAGCATGAACCACAAATTATTTCGTTAAAATGAAGATTTTAAACGTGGTCTTTGGCTGTGGTCTCTCTTTGGTGTTAAGTGACAATTAAGGATTCTGACTGGGGCAGGGAGGGGGAGGAGATGTGAATCAATACCATTCCTATTATTTACCATCTTGCCAACTGTGATGAGACAGATGTCCTGTTTGCCCTTAAGCAGGAAGTCCTGGTTATATGGGCAATATACTGTATATATATATGTGTGTTTCTGTGTCAGCTTTTATACTGCAAAAAGGGAAATATGATTACCCTGTCCTACCTTCTGCCCATTATCCTGATGGGGGATGATTTTACATACATATAAACTTCTATCACATACTGTCTTTTTTTCCGTAAGTTTAATATTTTATATTAATTTGCTTGATTGGAAATGTGTGTAATAAAAAAAATGTATATGAGCAATAGAAACACTGGGGCCACAGCAAAAGCAAAGAAAAATGACACATTCAAAAGTATATCTGTAGTAGGCCTACTTTTTCTATAGATAAATAAGCCTATTTAGAAAATGGATGGATGGAAAAAGCCTGAATCGATAGAACCTTAGGGAAATCAAAAAGATTAAGAAATGTTTTATAAAAACAATTAAGAAAAAAATTAAGAAATGTTTTATGATGGCAGTTTTTAAACAATACGATTGTTTATTAAATGACACCTTAAAAAAATAGCACAGTTAAATCTAATTAACTGAACCAGTGTCAGATTGGGACACCATAAAAAAGGGAAAACTTCAGAGAAGAAATTTCCATGCATTCTGGTAAAATGGTCAAAGTCCAGCAAGCATCTTCTCAACAGATGGCACTTGCAGCTGCACCTCAAATCCATTCCTCGCTGCACAAAGCGCATCTCAGCCTGGTGGGTTCCTGGTCCTGTCAGCCAATGGCGCGGGCCCCGGTGCCGGCCGGTCGTGCCCGGCATTGCCCCTCCCCGCTCGGCTCCCGGCTACAGCCATACACGCTTCATTAGAAGCGGAGTTACATGCAGGACTCCTCAGTCCGGTCCTGTCTCACACAGACCCCATTGTTGCAGTAAGGAAGTCAGATATACTTGCCTTTCCGCTCCATCCTTGATCACCTAAACAACAACCATGGTAGGTTTCCTTTTAAAGTTTGTATTGCTCTCTTAACATCTTTAGACTGAAAGTTATTTTGAAATGCGGAGGAAAACCAGAGGCGTTATTATAAGTAAGACCGTTACGGGGTCTTTCTGTGCGACAGGGAGTGTCTGCTTTTCTTTATGGCGACATCCTGCTTTGGTAACTGAATGTCTTTGCCGATCTTTAATCTAATTCCTCTGAAAAGACAGTGTCGCGAGTATGTAGGTCTTATTTTGTTAGTGTGACATCTTATAAGCGCGTTGTGCTTTAGTGTGGAGCCACAAAAGGCAGTGTAGCCTACATAGATGCACCTCGGTCACTGGCTATTCATTTTAGCCTATTTACTTACTTACTTAATTGTGATATTTACTGAATTTTAACTTAAGCTTTCGCTGTTTTGCGATCTTATTATTATTATTATTATTATTATTATTATTATACAAAATTATATAATGCAGGTGGATTTCACATTTGAACAGTACTTGTGGGTTATTGAATAACCGATGCAAAGCTATTTGCAGTGACAGTTATCTAGAAATTGTATATCAAGAGTAATTCTGAAAACATGCGACAGATACCTATTTAAATATAGCTTTATCGTTTAACTGGGAAAATATGTCCGTTGCATTGTGTCTGCAAGTCCTGGAAGGTAGAGGGTGTGTCTGGGGTACGATACGCATTAACAGGCTAAGTGCACTGCTGTCAACCGATCGGGACGGGGATTTCAGAACTATATTTCCAATATGGGGATTAAGTCGTCATTTTTACTCCATCTATTTATCTGAAGTATTTTCACAATAAAAGCCACAAGTAACTTGATAATGTTAATAAACTCCGTGTAATAAGAATGTGCTGCCAGTCTGTTCACGAAATCTGTGCTATTGCAGAGGTGCGGCTGCATTATTTGTGTGGAGGTCTTTGTTGAGATCCTATTGTGCTCAGGGTAGTGTTTCCTTTAGGGACAGCCTCTCCTCTACATCCATGTCCATTATCCTACTATATTTTAAATATTAATATAACATTGTAATGTTATTATGTATAATAATATTAAGACGAGGACTTGCCTTTAACAAAAACGGCTTTCTTGGTTGTTTAGTTAAGCATGTTTTAATGAATCTTATCAACATACTGGGCTCTTTAATCGATGGAAGACAGCAGGCACTGTCAGGGGAAAAGATGTGTGTGGATTTTAAAGGGTGGGGCTTCTTTGTGTTCACAGCATAATACTGGGGTGAGTGCGGGGGCCTTTTGCATTCAATTAGTAGGTTTGTGTGTGTCTATGTGTGTGACTGAGTGATATAGAAATACAAGTGGAAATAGAGGGTGAGAGAAAGAAATACTACTTTAGAAACCTCTGTTGACTGAATATTAAAAAAATGACTTGGTTGAATTTGTACAAAAGGACTTATTCTGCTGTAATCATGTTTAACTGAAATCCTACAACCTTGAGCTGTATGAACATAAGATGTATACAATATTAATTGAATATGGTGTTTATTTTTTTAAAAAAGCAATATTTTACTGGAAACCCAGTGTAAAACTTTATACTGTTCTCCACAGCGTGAGTGCATCTCCATCCACGTGGGCCAAGCCGGTGTGCAGATTGGCAATGCATGCTGGGAGCTCTACTGCCTGGAACATGGGATCCAGCCGGACGGCCAGATGCCCAGTGACAAGACCATCGGAGGAGGGGATGATTCCTTCAACACCTTCTTCAGTGAGACTGGAGCTGGGAAGCA